ATGCTGTTTTTAAGGTAGGAAGAGAATTGTAAAAATGATCTTATTTATATTTTCAGTCAGTCATAKTAATTGCTTTTTTTAACTGGATAAAACCCAAATTAAAAGATTTTTTCTTTTTGGACCATATTTATTGTCTGAGTTTTAATGTGTTTTTATAAGTCTTTAAGCATTTTTTTCCTGTTGGCTCTCACTGCGTTTCCTCTTCTTTTTGCTACCTCAGTCTCCAGCAGTCAACTGTTGTTTTACTTCAGTCTGTTTTATATTGAGATACTTTTACTCAAAGATTTGTTAACAAAACCTTTAGCTGAAAACATTTGTCTCATTTTCTTTGTTCTGGAAAACTTTTGTTTAAATGTAAAACATTTTTATCACCATTGAGGAGGTCTCAGTGAACTACATATCGTYATTAATATACTGTTGACTCTTCTTTTTCCTTCTTTCCTTTCTTTGTTTCTATTTACCTGTCTCTATAACACTCTCTATCTCACCCTACCCCCCGTTTCTCTGATTTAGGGTCCTCCTGGCCCTCCTGGTTTATCTGGTTCTCCTGGGAGGAGAGGCTCAAGGGTRAGTAATTTGTATAGTGCCAATGTTATACAGATATAACTTTTCAAATGGGGACCAATTAACTGGAGTATTGCATATATTTTAAAATAGTTACATTATGAGAATGAAATTCAGTTATGTATTTTTTCCCTCCTGTGGAATAGACATATTTAGATAAGATAAAGTCTGTTTCTATATCTGTGCCAAATTCAAGTGTAATAATCTCATGGGAAGTRTTCTTAGGCGAACTAAAGAACAAATAAAACTCATGGTGATGCAATGTTGATATTAGCTCCACAGATGTTGCCAAACTCAGTATAAAAGGCAATAGAGTGCATTCATTTTTTTCTTAAAATCCATATAAAATCAAATGAAACTCAGGGTATGCTGACATTCAGAGTRGTGGTCTTCAATCTTGGTTCTCACGKGGCCACTATCCTGCATGTTTCTCTTGTTTTACAGCTCCAGCACACTTGATTCAGTTCTAATTACTTCTACAAGTTCTGCAGGAGCCTGGTATTTACCAATTCATTCGATTCATGTGCGTTGGAGCAAAAACAAACCTCTAAAACATGCAGAAAAGTGGGCATCGAGGGCCAGGATTGAACACCTCTGATCCAGACCAACACATTTAATGGTCTCTCTTAGAGGAAGCATTAACAAATTGGAGACAAATAGCAGTTTGCTAGCTGTTTCATGACAAATGTCAACCTTTAAAGTAGACATATGCTTTTAAATCATTCCTCTTCACATTTAAATCATATAAAGTGGAACTGCAATGATTTGAAACTGAATTCCTCCTTATTTTAACTTTACCAGCCCCTCTTTCACCCCTTTTCTGATGTGTGCCTCAAAGCAGCTGGATTTAATACTTTTCCTTTAAGGTGTTCAAGCTCCGCCTCCCCTCCAGCTTCCAGACCGGTCCACTCCGGTTTGAGAGAGGGGGCTATGTTTTCTAGCAGTGCAGACATTTAATTTAAAATTGAATAAAAGATGTCAACAACAGCAGACTTGTTCATCCAGCCTTACATGTTGGAGCCAGAGTCTGACCCAGAACCAGAGGAGAATTAAGTTGAGGAAACTAATACCTTATTTGGTAATTCTGTCACAGATAATTTGACATAGTTCACAAAACCTTATAGAAAATAAAGAAAATGGAACAGGCTGAAATTTTTGACCCAAACAGAATATAAAGATATCCTTGCAGCACCAGGAGAGACTAAATTGAACAAAGTGGATATTGCATGATATGTCCCCTTTAAATCTACTAATTAAAACACTGGACATAATGCTTCCATTGTTATGATTTTTTTTATTTGCAATGTTTTATTTGTAGAAAACAAACAAACAAGAAACACTGACAGACATCTGTGTGGTTAATATGACTAAACAGATAAAAGCTCTGCAAAGACCCACGACGATGAGATAATTCACATCACTGAAGGAACTTTGTTCTGGTTGTTGCGTTCGACTCATCAGCATCCTGCGACCACTGTGCCAGCCACAACCAGCAGCTGCGTTAGCTGGTTACATCTTCACTCTGATCTCGAGATCGCTCTTTAAGCAGCTGCCAAAGCTGTCATGATGCAATGCTGCAATAATGCTTTGAGCCCTGGAGGCATCCTGAAACTGAACGTTACAGATCTGGTTGAATGTTTTTGGAAAAGAGAGAAGGTGTATCAATAAGTCTAGTCCTGTTTTGTGCACTTCCCAAAATAGCAGCCCTGTTTTATGGCTTATTTCTCTCAAGGAATGTAAATATCTGTGGAAAAAATTTTATTTTGTTTATATAGATTCAGATAGAAAGAGAAGGCTGAGTTGGTGGTGCTGTTTTGTTGATGCTCCTGTCAAGACAATGAAAGATGCTTTCGGAAGTTGTGAGACAAACAGTATTTTTTGAGTTACACAAAGTTTTCATCAACCTAAGTTTTTGTATGYATGTATATGTTGGTCACAATCTAAAGTAATCAGCCGGTGCATCTTGTTTCCAGATGATGTCATATTAGTTGAAGCTCATGTTGAGCAGGTTTGACTGTTTAGTTCAGATGATGCACTGAAATGATGCAAGGATCTTTGTTGTGCCGTTAGACTGTTCTTACAACAKAAGTGAAAACTGTTTAGTTTCATTGTGATCTTGTACTTTGTTGTGTTTTACACAGAGCATGATAGCAGATCGTCAGCTTATATTATACTTGTCTAATACTACAAGTTATGAATACACAAATAATAATTAGAAATGGAATGTAGTTAAAATCATATATGGCAGATATATAGCAAATTGGGTACCCTAGGCAAGATTTCAAGTGGCACCCCCTTTGTGCAGTTTTCCAAGTCTCGCTGCAAATTTACAAACATTCTCAAACCAAATTAATTAGTTTTGTGTTTAATATTGTTTTTATCTATAGAAACCAGGTTGTGCAATTAAAAWAGTTAACATTATAGTTCATTTGAAACAGAATACAAGATGTTTACCTCATACCTGCCAACATCTACTGACAGTAATGAGGAACACCTGTTCAAGTTAACGAGTCGATTAAATAAATCTGACATGCTTGTTTAGTTCAGTGTTTATCTGAACCTGCCTCTGACCGGATGCTCCGGTGCAGCATTTTATTTTTGGAATGAAGCGAAATTCTAAAACTAGAGTAGCCATCGAGTAACTTTAGCATCATTAAGGTCACTGCATATTCATAGTTTGTTTTTGGTTTTATTCCCATAGAAAAGCATCGATAAGAGGATGGTTAAAGGGGACCTATTATGCAAAATTCACTTTTAAAGCTTTTTTTACTCAACTTTGGGTATGTACTTCTTAAAAAAACAGTCCTGGGACCAAAAAAAAAGAAAACGCACCCAGGGGCATATTTACCGTAAGTAAATGTATTTTTAATGTATATTAACGACAAGTTTTATACTTCTGTTATTTTGTGATGTCACAAGCCGTACGACAACCCACCGGAACCTGTGTTCAGCCCCTTATCTAGCAACCCCCGGGTGAAACTCCACCTTCTCAGTATAAAAAGCCGTCACAGTTGTTGTTGTGTAATGTGCAGCTCATTTCACAACAAGCCTCCAATAGGGCAATGGGTAGAGTGTTGGATCAGACAGTGGGAGACCAGGGTTTGAGACTGGCATGGACACAATTTAATTATTATTATTTATTTTCGTTCGTTATGAACACATTTTCTCATGTACCTCTATTGTTTAGCTTATTAAAGCCTTGTTAAAGCCTATTTGTTCGGCTTTCTGAGGTATTTTGACCTCTGCTGCTCCCTGCTCTGGTAACAGCATGCAGAGTGAGCGCAGAGCAGAGGAGGGAGAGAAAAAAAAAAGCAGAAGCTGGGACCACGGCTCTGCCTCTGGGTCTCATATGGTTGTACAACAGAGCTTCTGCTATTATTAGCCATGCTAACGTAAACGCTGGCTTTGGAGGGCGGAGTTAATGTCAACAGATTTTTGGAGGGCGTTACCAACAGAGCTCATTAACATAAACAGCTCTTCTGAACAGAAGTCAGAGCAGGCAGAACTAGAAAATGGGAAATTTTATTATCTGAGAATTATTTTACGCATTAAATTGAATGAACATTGTCTGGATAGCCCACAGACATACCATAAAAATTTCTAGAACCATAATTGGTCTCCTTTAAAATACCAAATACCACTTTTTAAACTGTCTTCCTCAGGACTCAATAAATTCAGTTTCCATTACCACTTTCAAATCTACGGAAGAAGATTAGGGCCACTGAAAAAAATAAAAGAATAATTCTGACTTTTATCTCAAAATTCTGACTTTAATCTCAGAATTCTGACATTTTTCTCAGAATTGTTTAATCTCAGAATTCTGACTTTAAAAGTTTCTACAAAAGGAATAAAACAAAAGAAAAAGTGAGACAGAAAGAGGCAGCGGATCCCGTTTCTCAGGATTCTGAAAAAAAGGTCAGAATTCTTCTTTTAATATTTCAGTGGCCCTAATCCTCTTCTGTATAAATCCCATCTTAAAACTTATTTGTTCAAGAAAACATTTTGATTGATTTGATTGATTGATTAATTGATTGATTGATTGATGATGACTTTATTGTCATTGTATGGAGCACAATGAAATTACATTAATGAACAACCGTTCAAGAAGACACACATGACAAAAACATGGAGGGACAGGTGATAAGGTCATGCAGAAACCAGCAGGGGTCGCGCTACTTTTAAAAAGATTTAAAAAACCACAGAAGAATAGATGAGGAAAATAAAAAACAAAAACAAAGCATCATATTATATCAACAAAATGTGACACACTATGGTGCTTATAAAAACCCCTTTACAAGCAAGAGCACATTTATTAGCCAGAGGAGTAAGTGAGTTTAGATGGCGTGTATCTGAAGCCATGAATGTTGCATGCACTTGTGTGAATACCTGAAGAATGAGTCCGAAGAATCCCGTCCCTAAAAAGATAAACCCCATAGTTCAGCCATTGTCCAGAATATTGGTGTTGAATTGTTTATTCTGTGAAGCTTCAGGTTGTCCTTCAAGGAGTAAGACTAGACGGGAGTGAGGGGGAAAGGGGGGGGGGGACGTTAACATAAACACCAGGAGGAATTTAGTTCCACAGCCTTCTAAAGGTCAGCGTGAATGGGGAGAGACAATCTGTAATCAGTTGTTTGGGAACACAAGAAAATGTTTTTGGTCAGGCAGACAATAAAAAATTCTCCATCTGCCTTAATGTCCACTGGTACATCTCAGTGTGGCAAATCCAATCAGACGGTGTGGACAATCCCGCCGAGCCGAGCTCTCATCTTCTCCCAGATAATTCCATCTCGACAGCAAAGTCCAGGTACCTCAGTCGGCCCACGACTCTCAGCAGAACTGCTTGCAGACCAAGTCCAGCTCGCACAGGGCATGAATCTGAGTGCTGAAAGCACGGCCATCCTTCATATTGGTCAGGCAGTCAGGAAATGGCCTGAATAGCCACTGATGCTGTTTTGTAGAACACCAGGAGACCACCAAGCCAATCTGTAGAATCCAGTGATCAGAATCCTAATATATACCCAGAACAGAGCAAAACAGAGGTCCCACCTTTGACATGTCCTCCCATGGAAGAAAAAACTTTGTTCCAAAAAATTAATTAAGAGACCAGCTAACCAAGCCCATAAAAATAAAAACATCCATAATTTCTGGTTTTGGTTAAAAACGTAGAGGAGGCTCCGAGCAGCAAAGCAGGGAAGATAAGGGAGGGCAGGAGAGAGGGAAAAAGTGTCTTACTCCTCCGAGAGCAGGAACAAAAAATAAATAAAACCAAAATATTGGAACTAGAAATCTTTGTAACTACCATTAATCTTACATTTTCTCAAAAGGCTGGTTTTTATTATTTGTTGTTGGAGCTTATTTCTTTGCACCATTTTATTTTGTTAATTGATTCTTTTTTTTGTTTTGTTTTCATTGTGTTTCAATGTGTTTTATTATGATTTTATTGCTGACCTCTGTAAGGT